TGATAACTGTAAGGAGGGGCGGGTGGTATACAATGGAAGGGTGAACTGGTGATTGCCTTAACACAGAAGACTGGGGCTTCACCTTGAATAACTCAGCAGCTGTTTCTTCTCTCCATCTTTGTGAGCACCTCTCTACATGCAGAACTCTCAGCCAGGAGCCAGGGAGGCTATGAGGGAGATAGTTTCCACATTTAGGAACTAGAGTTCCTAAGGTGGGAGAGAAGAGGCATGTGTGTGTGTGACTCATCAGAAGTTCAATGTGGGGTGTGCTGAGGTCCAAAGGAACTGTCCAGCCCTTTAACTTAACTGCTCATATTTGTATCCCCAGCAATTAGGGTAGGACCTGGCATGCAAAAGGGACTTGGTGAATGTTTATCTAACAGGGACATGAGGGTGAAACTCCACAGGCCTGGAAACTCCCCAGAGGAGACAAGCCGCAATGTCCAGGTAGAAGGGAGTTGGGGAATGATGCAGCCCATGGTGGTATCCAACCATCCCCAAGGCCAACCTCCAGGCTTCCTTATTCCCATGTCCAGAGGCCTGCAGCTACATGTACTAATTTTGTGGAACCTGTTGCTTTGGATTCAATTTTGCAAACACCCACAGCCTTCTGGTTATGTAATGTCCAGAGTCAGTCCTGGCCAGTTGCCCTTGGCTGCCTAAGCTTGGTCATGAGACCAGCTTATGTCTTCAGATGGCCCTGGGGAGAGAAGAATGGGTGGGGGTGGGGACCCAGGAAGAGCAACAACAACCCAAAAAAACTCACTTTGCAACCTCTGGCAGCCAGCTTGGGAATGCCAAAGATTATTAGACCAAAGCAGAGGTTCAGAAAACACATGAACCTGCCTGGCCTGGAACAGTCTTCATTACAAGATACTTTGTGGTCAGTAGAGAGCTGAGCAAGAAATAGCTGAGAGGCAGCAGTTCCTAAGCCCACCCAGTTTCCTTCCTACCATCAGGGCCTGGAGATCAGGGTGACCAGAAGCCCTTCCTGTGGGCAGAATGTCCCATTTCTCCTTGCTGGTGTCAGGCCAGCCATTGGGGGTTGTTTAGAGACCAAACAACATTTGCTAGCCCATCACTTCGGAATACACACTCACACTCCCAGACTGGTGGGCTCAGCGTTTCCATTCACCATCCTTCACCTGAGCTCATGAATCATGGTGCTGGGAATTAGATGTAAAATCCCTCGTCCTACTTCTGACAGAGGTTCAAAGAAGAAATGACTTGCCCAGAGCCATGCATTTAATTAAGGGCAGATCTAATCCCCAAGCTGAGGTATCAGAATTCCTTCCCAATCCTGTGTTCTTTATATGGCTCCCAAATCTCCCTGCTATCTTACTTTAATCATCAGTCACCATCTCATGCCTTTTATTCACTCTGACCTCCCTACAGTCAGGTATTAGGATCCATAGAACTGGTCAGTGCCCTTCTATCCAGAGAGGCCACTGGAATCTGCTTGTCTCTAGGTACCAGCCTGCAAGTCAGAGAAGATACACGCTAGAAGTAGAAGTAATACTCTGTCCATCTATCCTCTCATGGCTCCCTCCTACCCTCTCTCTGTGCTTAGTACTTTGCTATGAGCTGGAGATACAAAGATAATACTGGTTATAATTATGATAAGACTCTGCATAAGTAACACTTACTGAGCATTTGCTATGTGCCAGACATTCTGCTAGGCCTTTGGATAGATCGGCCCTTATACTAACACTGTAAAATAGATAACACTTTGTCCTCTATTTGACAAGTGAGGCAACTGAGACCTGGGAGGTCATATAACGGTTAAGATCATATGGCTAGAAAGTGGCAAACCCTAGCAAAACTATAGGGTCTTTGCCTATAAGGAGATAACACAGTATGGAGCAGCAGGCTGATTTCATCATTCCTACCCACTTTGGGGTAGATAAATGCCCCTCCATTTGCATTTAGTTCCCCACGGAGCAAAAAGAGGTCAGCTTGGATTTGTTGGTTTATCATCCAGCAGTGTAGGGCTGGACTTGTAACATCCTGCAAAGGGTGTATCAGAAAAATCTTTGTAGGAGGGAAGGGGGAGAGGTCACAGAGGCAAGCCTGCATGAATTTTGGCACTGGTCCCCGGGAGGCTTTGTTATAGTGGATTAGAGAGTCTACCTTAAGAGAGTCAGACGGGGTGAGCAAGGGCTCCCTTAGAGCAGGACTAAAGGAACTTGGAGAACCTGAGACTCCGAGCTGTCCTGTCTGACCTCTGTCTTCTCTCACTGATGAAATGCGGGCAGACCATCTCCATCTGCTAACACTGAAGCCTCTGACCCAACTCTCAGGAACAATTTCAGTATGCAGAGACCTGTGATGTGTGTGTGGGAGGGAGCAAGGGTGTCAGAATGTTGAGAGAGCTTATTGCAAACCCAAACTTGGAGATTAGCTGGGGCTGAGGCCCTGGGCTGTGGGGTGAATGTATAAGTTTCCAGAACTGGTCGTTCTAAGCTGTGGGGACCTTATCTCCCCATCAGGACCATGAGAAACTCGTCCACTGTGCCAGGAGTTATTGTTTGTGTAGTGGAGACATGCTCTCTGGCTGGCTGCAGGGGACAGAATGTGGGGGACATTATGTCCCAGCTGGTCCTGGTAGGGTCCCATGGGGAAACCCGCTGCTAATGTGCTTTGCATGTCCTGACTGTAGGCAGAGCAGACCTCCGGGGACTTCCTTCCTTTAGTGGTTTGTCTAATCAAATGAGCAATAGCAGGGTCTTGCCTTTGAAGCTCCATCTGGAAGCATCTTTGACCCCCAGCCCACAGGAAACCATTCTTCTTGCAATGCCTGTGGTGCTTCCTGGTATAGGACTCTCATCTAGCCCTTTGCAGAGACTGGCTCAGTTTCCACATTCTCTGCCTGTCCTGCTAGACAACCTGCTTTGTAGGAGAAAGATCATGCCCCTGGTATCTTGGTCGGTCTGTAAATAAGAAGTTGTGGGTTTAAATGAGTCCATGATGTAAACCAGCATCCACAACAATGTTGATCTTCGGTAGGCATGCAAGACATAGTTGGCATCATTGTGGCAACTCGTGCTGTCAATGTAAAGACCAGACATTTTACAAGAAATATGCAAATGTCCCCAGTCTCAGAAACTTCATTTTTACTTTATTTGTCCCTTCACTCCAAGGGAAGCTAACTTCTTGGAACTTTGTGTGGATGCTACCAAGAAGAAGGGCCCAAAGGCATGTAGAACCCAGCTGAAAAAGAACAACCCACTTATGTCTGAAGTTCTAAACCAGCTTTAACTACTCGTTAAGAGATGAGGAAGGGTCTTAGGAGGAAGGGGATCAAACTCTTTCCTCCTCTCCTTATGAATTTCACTGTAACTGGTTCTAAGCTAACTTTTATTGAATGTTGTATGCTATTCTAAATCATTTGCTTCTCTCAAACACCCTATGGAGTAAGCATTTTGACCCATTTTACAGATGAAAAAACTGAGGCCCAAAGAGGTTAAGCAACTTTCCAAGTGGCTAATAGGTGGCAGAAAAGATTCAAGATTCAAACTCTAGCTGTCAGTCTCCAAAACCTGAATTTACCATTCATCTCCATGGCATTGGTTTGGATTAGATTATCTCTAACATCTTTTCCAGCTCTGAGATTCTAGGATTCTCTGATGTCAGGACATTCTAAACCTATTATAACTCTCCTAAATTTGTCAGACCAATTCTAGATCTCTACGATTACAGACATGATACTTTTAGAATCAGTATTTAAATCAAGGTAGGATTATTATTTAGGAAACGCAACTAAGTGAGTAGAATCTACCTTTGCCATGTTGTTCTTTTCAGAATTGACCCTAAAACAGGGCTATGTTTGTCAGAGCCAGTTATTTGTAATGTATCAAAATTTCGACTCTAGGGAAATGCTAGGGGTTAAAATGCACATTCCTTCAAACTTCAAAGTAGCTGCGGTGCCAAGCTGATTTTCAAGAGTTGAGTTCTTACTGAGCAGTTCAAGTGACCAGGACTGTAACCAGGGGCTTCATTTTCACCCACAAAGCAGTAGGGCAGTCAAGGGGAAAGACTGACGCAGAGAAACAAGGTTCCAGTGGGCTGGGTCCAAAAGACCTAGAGCGAGTGCTTAGTTGAAACATCTGCCAAAACCTCAAGGAACACCCACACAAAAATAAGTTGCTCAGCACAGAAATCAGAGTAGGGGATGTTCTTCGAAGGCCATACTCCATGGCAGGCATATAGCAGCATGCTTAAACATGGTTCCTATTAAGGCTAGAGAGGCACCATTCACTTCGAGGAAATCATCATCGTGACTCTACCCACCCCACGCCCCCACGGCATAACTGAATGCTGAGTGTGGACAGCCCTTCTTCCAGCACTTGGCTGCATTTCTTTGCTCAGTTGGAAGCCTTGCGGGGGAGAAGAGGGGTTCAGACGGAAGACCATCTGAGTCCATCAGAACAATGTGTGCTTTTAACAAGGCAGGGGCGCCCAAACTTAGTAGGTCCAACAGACCAAGTTAAGATGTTAAGGTCTTGTGGATCACCTACCCTCGCCAACCAGTCACCTAAAAGATGAGAAAACGCTAGCTCACAGGCCAAATGAGAGGCATTTAGATGAGGCACCAATGAAGTGATGTCTGGCTTCGTATTAATTACAAGTAAATTAATAACACATGCCAGGAACCAAAGTAGAGACATTTTCCTATTATAAACCCTCGAGACAAGCCCAGAGACCACCAGTGGTCCAGGGCCTGTATACTCTAAGAACTGAGGGGATAACAAGACTGTGCAACACCTTGGTACTCCACCCACCCTTCCCAGATCCCACAGTTCAAAGCATCGCCTTGGCACACTGGACCTGTGTAATACTCGTGGACTTGACCTGGAATCACAAAGCGAACTCAGCTTCTGTTGCATTCACCCCAGTGACTGGGAGTACACACCAATGAAGGAGGAATAGTGGCCATAAATGGAAATAGCTTTTGCCTACTTCTGGGACCTTCCTAGGCTTCTGAGGGTGTCTTGGAAGCCAGTCTAAGATAATGGGTAAGAGCATGGACTCTGAAAGCAGGTTCCTCTACTTAGAATCCTAGCTCTGCCATTTCCCAATTGTATGGCCTTAACAAGTTACTTAGCCTGCCTGTGACTCAGGCTCCTCATCCATAAAGTGGGCATAATAGTTCCTACCTCATAGGGTTGTCATGGGGATTTGTGGGCTAATATTAAAGGAGGTTTCTCAACCTCAGTACTATTGACATTTGGGGCCAGATAATTCTTTGTTCTGGGGGCTGCCCTGAGTACTGTGGGATGTTTAGCAACCTCCCTGCCCTCTACTAACTGTTCTGACAACCAACAGTGTCTCCAGACATTACCAAATGTTCCAAATATTTCCTAGAGGGCAAAATTGCCTCTAGTTGGGAACCACAGTACTAGATCATGTCGTAGATAAAAATAGGCAAATATCAGCAATTTCATACAGTTAAGTCTAATAATTATACGTGTTTAACAGTTAAAAATCTGTGAACTTTGTAGATATGTTATGTGCTTCATCTGGGATAAAGGAACCCAATGCTTTCATCAGATGTTCAGAAGAATAAAAAACATGGAGAATTCTAGCCTGAGTTCAACGTTCACCAGTCAAACAGAATTTCTATAAAGTGGTGTTCATAATACATCCCTCACAGGGCCCTTGTAAGGATACCGCAAGGGAATGTGAGTGAGAATGTTTTTGTATGCTGGAAAGTGTCACAGAGATATCATGAGAACGCTGGCTGCCTTCATGGGACTTAGGTCTTGAGGCTGACAAAGAAAAAGGACCCTCGTCACAGCTACGTCTCTGCATTTCTGAAAAAGTGCTGGGATGTGAGAATTGTGTAGCTAAAGAAGTGTTGTGGGGCAGCTGGAGTGGAGGGTGTGGCTGGCTGCACAGGAAAGTTTCTCTGTGAAGGCACTAACCTGGCTAGACAAGAAGATCAGTGGCTTCATCTGGGGTCAAGGGGGCCCTGGGGTGGGTAGATGAATGACCAGCCACTTGACAGCTGAATAGGGGAGCAAGCTTCCCTCAGACCCAATGTCAGCAAGCCTTCTGGGTGCTGAGCCTCCTCTCATGTGTTCCTTTTATTTTATTGATACATAATAAATGTACATATTTGGGGAGTACATGTGGTATTTTGATATATTTAAAAATGTATAGTAATCAAATAGGGCTATTCATAACCTTAAACATTTATCTTTATTCTGGGAACACCTGAATTATCCTCTACCAGCTATTTTGAGATATACAATAAGTTATTGTTTACTGTAGTCATTCTACTGATTTGTTGAACACTGGGTCTTACTTATTCTGCCTACTTGTATTTTTGTACCCATTAATTGGGTCTCTTTCCCCCACTTCCTGCTACTTTTCCTGCCTTTGGTAACCACTAATCCACTGTCTATCTTCATGAGATTTACTTTCTTAGCTCCCACATATGAGTGAGAACATGGTATATTTGTCTTTCTGTGCCTGGCTTGTTTCATTTAGCAAAGTGATCTCCAGCTCCAGTGGTGTTGCCACGAATGACAAGATTTCATTCTTTTCTATGGATGAATAATATTCCATTGGGTACAGACGCCAGATTTTGTTTATCCATTCATCTGTTAATGGGCACTTAGGTTGATTTCATATCTTGGCTATTGTGAAATTGCTGTGGTAAACATGGGAGTACAGACACCTCTTCCATATTCAGATTTCCTTTCCTTTGGATATATACCCAGCAGTGGGATTGTGGATCATATGGGTGTCCAAATTGGAAAGGAAGAAGTCATGATGTTCCTTTTGCCCACAGATGTACCGAGGCTTCACCAAGATGCCCCACGTGCAGTACATCCACACAGAGGCTTCTGAGAGTCTCTGTGGCCTTAAGCTGGAGGTCAACAAGTACCAGTACCTGCTGACAGGTAATGGCCAACTCTAGCTTCTAGGCCAGAGTTTGGCCAAGATCCACTGTTTCTTGACTTCAGAAGAACACAGGAGTAGTTGACTCATTGGATGTCTAGCAAATTGTAAGGAGTCTCTAATGTTGAATCCATCCTACTTACTCAGTGCTAAGAGCTTGAGGCTCCTACACCTAGGCTGGACTTTGGAATTAGCTCCACAACTCACCTTGTGGAGGAATCTACTAATTTGTAGTTTCTCAACTTTACTGTGAATAAAAAGGATTGTCTGTTCCTCTCCACCTCACAGTCAACCTGATAGGCCTGTCTTTGAAAGGTATTCATCTTTAGGCAGTCAGTGTAGTAAAGGAGAAAACAAAAACAAAAAATCATTAAAAAGGGAGTAAAGAGTTGGTCTCTAGTCCTAGCTCCAGTATTTAATGGGCTTGGGACCTTTGGCAAATCACTTTACTGGGGAGGAGGGCAAAATAAAATCATGGGTCTGAGAAGTACCCAGTCACAGTGCCTGGGCTAAGTGGGAACATAGTAGGTGGGAATTCTTTCCTGGTTAGACTCTGGACAAAACAACCCTCTCCTTGTTTTCTTCTTCCCTCCTGTAGGTCGTGTCTATGATGGCAAGATGTACACAGGGCTGTGCAACTTTGTGGAGAGGTGGGACCAGCTCACCCTCTCCCAGCGCAAGGGGCTGAACTATCGGTACCATCTGGGCTGTAACTGCAAGGTAAGCCCTGGAGTCACTAGGGGAAGGAAGGGAGGTGCTGACTTGCAGCCCCAGAAACATCAGCTCCCAATGTGCTGGGCACCGGGCCCTCGTGCTGGGAAGGCTGTGCCAATGTTAAGCCAGGGAAGAGGGGCAGGTCTGAGCAGACATGGCAAGGAATGTTGCTCCCAGGTGGGGCAGTGAGGAAGGCGGGTAGGGAGGAATGCCTTTCTGCTGTAATCGGCTGCCTCCATGATGACTACTTGGAAGCTGTTGGAGAAAGAGGGCACTTGAGTCCCTTGCCCCACCTGGCAGTTCAAGGCTGTAGGTATAGGATCCTGACACTGGCAGGTTCTGCCAAGTGGTTTCAAGTGGCTCACCCTGGTAGCTGACTCATCGGTAACCCCACCCCAGGTGGGCAAACAGGCCCAGGACTGCAGATATCAGGTGTTACAGAAGGTCTCTCTTCAACCAGGCCCACCCCCTGGCTTAAGTATAGGGGGCCAAGGCACAGCCTTCCTGCTGTGGGAGGGAGTTGAGCCATTCTCTCACTTAATCTTCAAAACAACCCTGTGTGGTTTTAATTACTATGATCTCCATTTTGTAGATGAGAGCTCAGAGAACTTAGGTAACTGGCCCTAGGTCACACAGCTCACTGAATCTGGTTTCCAACCTAGGGCAGCTAGAAAGTATATGCTCTAGCCTTTCTAATTCCTTAATTCCCTTAAACAACTGGGTCTCCCATCTATTTGAGATGAAAAAGCCTTTTCAATGGTCTAATCCTGCTACTTACTGGCTGTGTGACCTGCAGCCTCAGTTTCTTTATCTGTAAAAAGGGAGATAAAACTGTTATGAAAATTAAAGAGAATAATATAAAAGCACTTAGCAGAATGTCTGTTAGATAGTAGGTGCTTAACAAATGTTTGCTAGTGCTATTTATATTATTATCACTGAGGGACTGATGTGGCTAGCTTCCCCTGCAGTGGTCCCAGGGTCTGAATCCAGGCTCAGTAGCCTCAGGCCTGGGCATATCATGGAGTCTATCAACTGCTGGCTGTTATCTAATTGCAGATCAAGTCCTGCTACTACCTGCCTTGCTTTGTGACTTCCAAGAACGAGTGTCTCTGGACCGACATGCTCTCCAATTTCGGCTACCCTGGCTACCAGTCCAAACACTATGCCTGCATCCGGCAGAAGGGAGGCTACTGCAGCTGGTACCGAGGATGGGCCCCCCCGGACAAAAGCATCATCAATGCCACAGACCCCTGAACGCCAGACCCTGCCCCACCTCACTTCCCTCCCTTCCCGCTGAGCTTCCCTCGGACACTAACTCTTCCCAGATGATGACAATGAAATTAGTGCCTGTTTTCTTGCAAATTTAGCACTTGGAACACTTAAAGAAAGGTCTATGCTGTCATATGGGGTTTAGTGAGAACTATCCTCCTGACCCCACCCTGCCCCTTTTTGGTTTTGACATCACTCATTTCCACCTGGGAATATCTGGTGCCATGCCAGAAAGAATGAGGAACCTGTATTCCTCTTCTTCGTGATAATATAATCTCTATTTTTTTAGGAAAACAGAAATCGAAAAACTATTCCATTTGGGCATTGTAATTCCCACCCCTTTTTCTCCTTCCCCACCTCAACATCTCCCAGACCCTCCTCTCTTTGCCCTTCTCCTCCAATACATTAAGGACACAGACATGCAAGTTGCTGAAAGGCCAACCATTTCAGGATAAGTCAAAGGCAGCAAGCAGATAGACTTAAGGTGTGTGAAAGATCTTATACACCAGGAGCTGCCACTGCATGTCCCAACCAGACTGTTTCTGTCTGTGTCTGCATGTGAGAGTGAGGGAGGGAGGGAAGAAACTATAAGAGAGTCGGAGATGATGCAGCACACACACAATTTCCCAGTCCAGTGATGCTTGGGTTGACCAGATGTTCCTGAGTCTGGAGCAAGCACTCAGGCCAGAATAACAGAGCTTTCTTAGTTGGTGAAGACTTAAACATCTGCCTGAGGTCAGGAGGCAATCTGCCTGCTTTGTACAAAAGCTCAGGTGAAAGACTGAGATGAATGTCTTTCCTCTCCCTGCCTCCCACCAGATTTCCTCCTAGAAAACTCTTTGGTAGATTTGGCCGGGAGCTTGCCTTTATGTAAATTGGAGACCTACACACAGCATACACTACCCACAGATATAGCCAAGTAGACTTGGGTAGAGGATATTATTTCCAGAATAATGTTTAGCTCACCTAGGGGGATATGTTTGTATACACATTTGCATATACCCACAAGGGGACATAAGCTAATTTTTTTTACAGGACACAGAATTCTGTTCAATGCTGTTAAATATGCCAATAGTTTAATCTCTTCTATTTTGTTGTTATTGCTTGTTTGAAGAAAATCATGACATTCCAAGTTGACATTTTTTTTTTCATTTTAATTAAAATTTGAAATTCTGAACACCCTCAGCACCCTCTCTTCCCTATCACAGGTCATTTGACCTCTGTCCGTCTCCTTTTCCCTGCTTCATATTTGGGGGCCTTCCTTTAACTGCCTTCCTGGCTTGGCTCAGATGGCAGATGAGAGTGTAGTCAATGGCCTGGGCACAGGAGGGAGAGCTGCAGAGTGTCCTGTCTTGGCTGGAGGGACTCCCCTCCTGGGTGTGGAGACAGGCTGGTCCCCTTTCCCTAGCTCCCTGGTGGGTGAATGCCACCTCCTGAGATCCTCATCTCTTGGAATTAAAATTGTTGGTCACTGGGGAAGCCTGAGTCTGCAATCAGTTGTAGGGTTTCTGTTGTGTTGTTTTGAAGTAAAACTATAATATAAGTTCTCCTATTAAATAAAATTATTTTAAGTTTTAGTGTCAAAAATGAGATGCTGAGAGTAGGTGATAATGTATATTTTACAGAATGGGGAGTGGTAGGATGGTGACATTGAACATGATTGCTCTCTCTTTTTTCAGCTTATGGGTATTTATCTTCTATTAGTATTTGTATCTTCAGTTCATTCCACTTTAGGAAACAGAGCTGCCAATTGAAATAGGAGAAGAAAAAAAAAAGCAGCAGACAACACATTATAGTGTCTTGCACACACACAAATGCCCAGGCAAGGTGCTTGGCAGAACCCCAGATCGGGAAGACAGTACAGGCATTGGGTTTCCTTGGGATCAATTTCATTACCTTGTACCTTTCCCTTTGTGGTCATGCCATTTGGCAGGGGGGGAATGGGAGGCTTGGCCCTCTCTGTGAGGCAGTGTGAGCAGACGAAGCTGAGGCCAGCAGGTCAGTGGTTTTTAAGGGATGAGCCCAGACTTGATGTTTTGGGATTGTCCTTATTTTAACCTCAAAGTCTTGCATGGTGAGGCATGACTGACCAACCTACGCAAGCTCCCTCCCACAAGAGGACATCAATGTCTTCTCTGTGAGGCATCTGGCCATTCTCACTCCCTGGTGTGGTCAGCCCCTCTCACACAAGGAGGGACCTGGGTGAAGGCTGAGCGTGAGGCACCTGAAGTTTCCCTGCAGAGTCGATACACTAGCAGAACCACAGCCCCATCTGTTAGGCCTTGGTGAGAAGGCCCTGGACAAAGAAGGGTCTTTCGCAAAGCAATGTCAGAGGGCGGTTTTGAGCTTTCTATAAGCTATAGCTTTGTTTATTTCACCCGTTCACTTACTGTATAATTTAAAGTCATTTATGTAGCTGAGACACTTCTGTATTTCAATCATATCGTGAACATTTTATTTTGCTAAATCTTGTGTCATGTGTAGCGTGTAATATGTGTACATTGTGTTTAAGAGAAAAAAAAATGAAACCCACATGCCGCCATTTTCCTGAATCAAATTCTACAGTGGAATGGAAAGTAAAATACTTCTAGGCAAGCAGCTAGACTGGTGAATTGGAGAAACTAGAAGGAACTGAGACTCCTCCAGCCTCCTCCCTGTTGGAATCCCAATGGTTCCTGGAGTAGGAAAAAAAGTTTAAAGTACATTCATGTTCTTGTTCTATGTCACCTGGCCCTGGGGAGACTACCATTTACTTCACCCCAAGTTCTGTTATCCTTCCAGTTGGGAGGCCATGATTTTCCTAAGAATCCAGGGCCATGGGAGATACAATTCCAAGTTCTCATTGCCACGTTTGAGCATCTCTTCTGCCTTCCAATCAAGGAAGCTCCATGCCCAGGCTCTCACCTCTCAGGCCAGTGCTCTGCTCTGTCCAGGGCAGGTAATACTGAGAGACTCCTGTCTTTACCCTCCCCTAGTTCCAGACCTGCCTCATAGTGGCAACACGGTTCTTGAACAATTAAGGAAACAAATGACTTTTTGGAATAGCCCTGTCTAGGGGACACTGTGTCCCCCAGAAGACACTACCCTTCCGCGCCCAGACCTGTATCTTGCACGTGCTGACTGACAATCTGGACTACACCAAGATGGCACCCAAGTGTCTGGCTTCTGGCTACGTAAGGTAAACATGTCACTAGAGTATTTTTATCAGAGAGAAAATTCTAAAAATCTGATGGCAAACACAAAACAAAATGCGAGACAGTAGGGGAGGTACATGTGATAACAACTTCCAAACTGGTTCTTTGGAGGTGAGAGGAAGGGAAGAACTTTGAGAACAGTTTATGTTTTGGGGGTAGGGGCTTCTTAGATTCTCCCACCTACCGTTCCCTTTAGCCAGTCTGCTGTCCGGAAACCCAGAAGTGATGGAGAGAAACCAACTAGAGAAAACCCTGTCTAGAAGGAATGTATTTGTTGCTAAATTTTGTAGCACTGTTTACAGTTTTCCTCCATGTTATTTATGAATTTTATATTCCGTAAATGTATATTGTCTTGTAATATTGCATAATGTTCACTTTTTATAGTGTGTCCTTTATTCTAAACAGTAAAGTGGTTTTATTTCTATCACACATCTGCTGTCTTTTGCCTTGTTGTCTTTTCACTGCCACCGGGCGTTATGTACACAATAGCAGGCCTTGGAAGTCTGTCCCCGACTCCAGGCCTGGACCCATCCCTCCTGCCATGCACTTCTGCAGCCTGGTCCCACCCTGCTCTAGTCCTTTTCCCTTGCAGAAGGAATCTCAGGAGAGGTGCTCTGCCTTGACTTTGCTCCCTGATTCTATTGCTAGAGTCTTCCCTAGTTCTGCTGAATCTGGATCTATTAACATATTTGTATGTAATCACCTACTGGTGGTACACATATCCCCAGATTGGAGTCCTCACTCAGCCCTCCTTGTTTTCTTCCTAAGAATCCCAACCTGGTGGAAGTGGGGAGGGGTAGCCTGCAAACAGCAGTCCTTGCTGTCAATTGCCTGCTTGAAATTCCAAGTATGGCTTGGCCTAGTTGGGAACACCAGGAACTCATGAGGTCTCACGACAGCTGGTGACCTTTTCCCAGTGCTTATAACAACCTCCTTTCAGAGTTTACAGCAGGGCCTGTCCCTGTCAATGGGCTGGGCTGGCTGCAGACCCCTCACCCGACTTTCATCCCACCATTGACAATGTTCCAGGTTGTAGCTTTCACCCTTCTTTTAAAGCTACTCCTATCATATGCCAGGTGCAGCACTTTATACACAGGATCCCATGAAATCTCAACTACTCAGTGAGGTTGCTTCACCATTATCCATGGTTTTTACCTGAAGAAGTTGAGGCTCACAGAGATAAAGTCATTTTCCTGAGACCTAGTGTGTAGACAGAATGGGGATTCAAACTCAGGCTGGTTTGATAATGAACTCTGAATATTCTCCACTGTAAACCTGCATATAGTGGGGGAAATTCAGGGTTTGGGGATATGCTGGGTTTCACATGTGCCTTTCTTATCTCAACCAGCACATTCTGGATTCTGTGACTCTTGCCCAATCAGATGTCGGGGTAAGATCATCAACAGAAAATTCTGCTTGGTTAGACTGCTTCCTCCTGGAACCTGCAGTCCTACCCATCAGTGTCTCCAAACAGGGCTGTCTAGCCCAGCAGCCTGAGCTTGGATTCTACAAACAGCTGCAGTAAGTCCCCAGATGGGACTATGGGATGCCCTATTAATTATTCTGTTCCCAAAGACTCATTCCCTCCAAGGCCAAGTGCAGGGTCACGGCCTTGCATTCCTTTGGCCAGTTTAAGAAGACCACAAGCTATGCAAGCAGACGTGTTGCAGGCTGTTTCCTGCTGCTCAGAGTTCCCACACCCCCAACTTCTTCTGACTTGAGGTGGAGAATCCTTCACCTCATTCAAAAAGACATTCACCTCTTCCACCCAGGTATCCTCCAAATGGGAAGCTGTACCACATACTCTGAGCTAAGCCCTAACCGCTTCCCAGAGGAGATCTCAGGTGCATTCAGAAATTAGAAAGTGAAGAGGACGTGTAAGGAAACTGCCCTTCAACAATCAATGCAAATCAAATATTAATATTCCTGCTTTTTATTAAAATATGAGTTGAAATCAGGTTCCACAAAAGGCTCAAGTAAAACAATATCCAACCTTGAAAACATCTTTTACCTTTATAATCAGCCTCTGGCTCCAACATTCCAGCAAAAGTTGTCCCCTGATTTGCCGAAAATCTCCAATGTCCAAGGAATGTGGTCCACCTTTGTCATTTGCCCTACTGCCTGAATTTCACCTGGAGAGATGACTTTCCTTAGGAAAGCCAGATATTCCCACAGGACACTGTGGCTCTGCCTTAGAGTCTGCGTGGTCAGTGTACAACCCCTAGAGTCCACCTCCTCTGTCCAAAGGGACTGAGGACAAGACATCTGTTATTCATTCCACATCATGAAAAGAAACAGTAAAAAAGGGCACTCACCATTGGCTTATGGTTGGGGAAAAATGTTTGCTCCACAAGAGGGAACTTCTCAGGACCCAGGGAATGGAAGATCTTAATGAGTTGAGAGAACTAGGGTAGAAGAAGAGAGAACATTGATCAACCATTGTTACGCAGGATGGCAAAACCTCCCACTTGATCTGGGTCCTCAAGTATCTGACTATTCTAAGCTAAGCTTCAGTAGGTGCTCCCTGACTATGGGATAAGGGCTAGTTTCCTTGGCTGGACATTCATCCTCTCTATCATCTATATGTATCAACCCCTCCATTTCTGCCCAAGTCCTAGTAAGTAGGCAGAACACTGGGTTCAGCTCAACCATATTTAATGAGCACTTACTAGAACGTCAGCATTTCACACAAGATCCTTCTCCATGGTACCTGCTGATGTTCATGCCCTACTCCCTGCCTGCAATGCCTTCTTTCTAGAGAGGCAGCGCTGCATGGTAACTGATGATGTAGATGTGGATCCACTTTCCCTGAGTTCAAATTCTCGGTTTGCCACTTATTAGCTGTATGACCTGAGAAATCAATTCAGGTTTCTGAATTTCGGTTTCTTCACTTGTAAACTGGAGATAATGAGA